TCTTTGATTAAACGTCATGTAGACTAAATATAATAAAGAAGTTACTCTTTGGAAAGGCCAAGTGACTCTAGCAATATAATTTGTGTATTAAAGAAACAAATTCGAACTTTTGAGTTTTATCCCACTAAGTTACAAAGTTTAGCATTTTTTAAGTCCGAGTATTTTGATTTATAACAAGACAAGAAAATCATATGTTATTTGATAAATATAACACTTCTTAGTAAGGATTTGCTTATCAGAATAATGAAATGATGATGAAGGGAAGAAAACTTGGGTATGGTGAATTAACTATAATTTGAGAACGAAGTTAATTTGTATCTATATGTGTATTCATGCCAACACAATAATTACACAAAGGGCCTTAGTGAAGCACTACAGATTCTTAGTTTTATGATAATATTTCTTTCATTTCATTTCCTTTTTTTTTTTTTTTTTTGGGTTGAAAAAGATACGGATACGATTTATTATCAACGTCTATATATCTTCCACATCATTCAAAAGCTAACATGCATTACTGCCACCGCACTCCGCACATGCAAGTGCAAAGAGCTCTAAGCATTAACTTCTTTTATAGGATGGATTTATTCATATGAAAAAAAAAAAAAAAAATTGTAAGGACATTTGTAGCATATATATATATATATATATATATATTATGCCTTCCACGCATTACGGCAGCCACTACCCAACAATTATATATTTACAATCATCTCACCCTTCACCATCACCATATTCTCTGTACACATTAATTAATGTTGTTAGGAAAAACCTAGGCTAAAACATAAATTAATTAACAAGACGAAAAATAATGAACGAAAATAAAAGTAGAAATCAATATTAATAATTTTATACAAGTTCACGCCTTTTCTTCGACGTAGCACCGAGGTGCCCACCACTCGGCGTTGCGGCGCTGCCTGTTCTGATTCTCATAAAATTTGGCTCCAAATGAGATTAGGCTCCATTCTCCTCCACATGTACACTACTCTACAATGAAACAAAAGGCTTCTCTAGTAATGAGTGTGCACTGATTAATTTCAAAACCTATTAAATATTTAAAGTACATCATAAAATTTGTTTAACAGTTGGAAAATAGATTAAGGACACTAATCTATGACGAAGTTTTTTTTTTTTTTCCACCTATGCCTACATGTTATTATTACAGAATTTCCCCTAAGAAATATAAACTCTACTGACAAATGTTCATAATTGACATTTAACCATTAATACACAGATTTTAGTTCATCTTAATGGATAGGAGTTCTTCTGAGTTTTTCAATTTTTTTTTTTTTTCAGTGGCATTTTGGAGCGGATTTTGGCATCCACCTGGATTTGTAATATTTAACATTTAATCTTATTTTTAATAAAATTGAATGAAAAAAATTTACGTCTCCGTTAACTGCGGAGCTCATCGCACAAGTGCTCTTTAACATTAGTTATTCTCTGTTTTCGTTTAAAAAAAAAAAAAAAAGCCAAATCTTCAACTTCGTATGAGGACCACTATTGGTGCTAGCTATAGCTATTAACCTTTGCTTTGCTTCACGAGCACAAAGTTACAAATTCGTAGCGTTTTGTACACTATGTTTTTAATTCCTTAAGAGAATTTCTCTGGTAGAACCGGAAAAATGAATTATTAGTAGCTGTCAACTTTTTAGCCGTTAAATTTATATTAAAAATTGACTTTTTTAATATGATATAATTTTAATTAAATTTAATAGTCAGAAGCAAGGTAGTTGCTAATAGACTGGGCCTATCGAAAAAAGTCCTTTATTTTTATGAACTTTAGTTAGTGGTTTATCTATAGTACTGTTACTTTCTTCAAAAGCCGTACGATATAGAGATATATATACTTATCCAACACATATCTCACATAAACAAGGTCTGGAACGCACGCATTGGATCAAAATCTTTAAGGTTCTTTTTCCCCCTTTTTGTGTGGAATTTGGAAAATCCTCTCGTTTTTGCTTTAAAGTTATTTTGATCTAATCATACTTAAACAAAAAAAAAAATCTGCTCAAAGTACTCCTGCATAATATTAAATGTTTAATGGTTAAAAACAATATAACAGTACGTGGGTAATTAAACTAATTGTTCTCTGTATTTTCCACGTATATTTAGATGGATATTGATATTTTCTTTTTAAAATAAGAGAGAAATTATAGTAACATATATATACGTAAATTGTACTCATTGAATTGCGTTTTGTTGATCAGAAAAAGAAAGATAACATTCAACAAATTGGCATGAAGAAACTTTCGGTCCATTTTATTAATGACATGTCCCATTAAGATTCTCATCTCTCACGAAGCTTCAACTCTATTAATGAAATAAAGAAGAAAAAAAAAATTTAATAAAAGGAAAGAATAAATTAACTAGCACGGCGCAAGCTAGCAACATAAAATAAATAGGTCGCAAAGACTTACAAATAGAAGCGACAAAAATTTGTTTTTACTTTTTGTTTTTTTTCATGAAGATCGATAAGCGATAACTACCATATAAAAACATCCCACATAGGTTGGCACCTAAACCCTACACTATCTCACACTAAATCACTCATCCAAATTGTAAATAAGAAAAAAAAAAAAAACTCAAAACAACTAAACGTGCATGAAACTCTAATTGATATCTTCAATGGTAAAAAAGAAATGTCGGCAGTTCAACGATGGACCACAAAATTGTGAACAAAACCAGGTGCCAAATTCCACCATATAACTTATAATTAGCTCTTGTTTGTATTATTACAACTTGTAACATTTCTACCTTTATCACGAAGTGTATATGTCGTTTTCTCTCTAGACTCACTAAATCATAGCAGAAAACTTCTGCTAAATTAACTCCAAACCCCAAGGCAAACTGATTATCGCGTAACTCATCTATTAAGCATAAAAAGAAGTAATCGTCATCGTAAATCATGAATTCCATGCAACATACATGCACACATATGAACACAAGCTTTATTTAATATAAAAAAGATTTTACAAAACTAAAGTCAGGAAAATACCCAGAAAAAAATATAAGGAAAAAATTGAAAAAGAAAGCAAAAGCAAACAATAAAAATGAAATTACGAATAAAGCAACCAGGAAGCAACATAACCACAAAATAAAAAATAATAACATAAAGAACTTCACATTTTAAAACCCTTGCCACTACGAGTTGTACTGAGGAAGGGTTTTTTTTTTTTTACCTAGCTATAGCAACAAATTCCATTTCATTATTGACACACACACACACACATATGTATATATATATATATATATATATACACCTAAAGTTCTATTTTCTTTACCCTACAAATACCCTAGTCAATCTAAAAAAATATAGTAATATTAATAATAATAATAAATGAGTGAAATTATAAAGTAAAAAAAGCTTTTTGTAAATCAACTTTATTTTCTTGCATAGATGGTTCTCCAGTTAAATTGAGCAGATCAATTCGCTAGAATAGAGTGTATAGCTCTATAATTGGAGTGGTGGCGTAGAGATTACTTAAAATGCTTTCTGAGTTCTATAATTTCTCCAGGGACAGTGATAATTATATACATATGGTATAAAGACAGGTAATAATCTCACCAAATAATGGAAAAGCCTTTATGATCCCTTTCTTTTTACTTTATTTTCCTTGCAATATTAAGACACTAATATCTTTCTGTAACAAAGAATGGGTGATATAGCCAAAGATGAATAACAATCACAAGAAAGTGTACTTGTTGCCTGCAATATACGGACTAAGCACATGCATAGATGTCCCTACAATCATTGCAATGGTGGTTATTTTCCATGTGGTTTTCTTTCTGACGTATCAAAGCAAGCAAGCTAGATAGCACCAAATCAATATCCTTTTGTAGCTACGTATACATAAGCTCATAGTCTAGCTAGCAAGAGATCGTCTCTCTCTCTCTACAAATATATATATATATATATATTAGTTCTTTTTCTGTGTCATTGATTGAATATTTCTGTCAAAGAGCAACTGTAATCAATAGCCTGTGTAGCAGTTATTCCTTTGCTTGTTTTTAGTGAAATTACTATATTTGTATAATTAGTAATTAATGTAGCTGGGGACCCTTATATTTCCAAGTCCTAGTACTACTAAGAAGACAAAGAAAGCAAAGAGATTGGGATATTGGTGCCAAAACAATTAAGGTCTTGTGTTTTCTTTCTAAAGATGTGTTGGAAAACAATCAATTGAAATTAGCTAAAAGTGAAAACCTTGACAAAGAGTAGGGACGAAAATAGGTAGTGGAGAGAGAGAGAGAGAGAGAGAGAGAGAGAGAGAGAGAGAGAGAAGAGAGGGAGAGAGCCAGAGAGAGAGAGAGAGAGAGAGAAGTAGTAAGTTGCTACGAGTATGAGCTGTTTGATTTGAAATAAGGAGAGGGAGAAAAGAGAGCTATAGCTTGAAAGGCAAAGGAAAAGAAAGAGTACCACAATATAGTCATGTGAAGGCATTTATAGTGGGGCTTTTGTGTTCTTTGTTTCCTAGTGCACATGGGAAGAGAGTCCTTTTAATAAGTTGGTGTGTAGAAAAGGCCATGGAGCATGTGAGGCCATGTGCATCTCCAAATTGACTTCCTAAGATTTTTGCAAAAAAAAAATTTCACAATCCTTTTTCAAGAGGGACCAACGTTAGACATTAGGGTTTCGATGATATTAATTTTGTTAGGGACAGAATTATGATGATTCAATCGAGCTTATAGATCTTTTTAGAAGAAAACACATGTAAAAAGAGAAATATGATTACATGTCAATGTGTTTGGTAATGAGAACGAGATCTATTGGTTATTAACTCCAACTTATGAGATAAGGTGTCGCTTAGTGACCTGTATATATATATATATGCCATGTCCACCATCTCTTTATTTAATAATAAATCCTTTAGGTCCTTCATTCGGCACTGTTCAAACCTTGTTTTGCTTCTCCATTTCCTTGAGGTGGAGCCTAGTACTAACCGGCGACCAATATTCTCTCTCTGTTTCAACTGTGTTTGCATAACTTCTCTTGATGATATTTTAGTTTCAGATTTCTTGTTCTCATGATCTTCTAAATAGATTTTGTCTTAGGTTTTGTGATAAAGAGAGGCAAGCTCACCAACAGCTTCTTTTTTCTCGTTCGATCGTCCGAGTTTTTTGTTTCCATTTCGTATTAGTGAAAGCGTTTTCCATCTTTCTTCTTTCTTCTTTTTTCTTTTTTTTTTATCCTTTGTGAATGGGGAGGCAAGTGATGAGCAAACGAATGCGCGTCTATTCGCAAGAAACAAACAAACTACTCCATCTTGCTTTTGCAAGAAACTATATTAATCACTTGGTGCCAGCTCTTAAGAAGAAGAAGATGACGATCAATGACGAAGGAAGTGCTAGTTCTTCGAATGCTACTTCGCGGAATGGCAAAGATGGCAACGCCGAGCGAGAAAAGATCGTTCGATTCGAAGTCGACATGGCAATGGCGCTGTCTGCGAAAGAGTTTGCATGGAGCCGTGCCTTGGAAGCAAATCTTCGCAAAGAGCATGAAACTTTGCGTACAAATGGTGGGGTTACTCAAAAGCCTTCCTTTCATGATCAAACATCTTCTTTTATTCTTACTATCGAGTCCAGACCCATTTTTGAGGAAAGAAAAGGTGAGACTTTAACGTTATCGCCTCATAATCCTACATATGATAATGTAGTGAAAATTATGCCACTTGAAACCTCACAAAACCCTAGAATATGCGACGTAAAGATCATGAAGAAATCTTCCGGCACTAAAAGTCGAAGATCGGGATCGATAAAAGGGCACGACAAGAAAAGTGAAGAGGACGTTATAAACGATAAGTTGGCGAATCTTAGAACGGTATTGCCTGGTGGAAATGAGATGGGAGACCATGATGAATTGCTCACAGAACTAGCAAGTTACATTACCTGCCTCAAGTCACAGGTGCAAGTTCTTCAGTGTCTTGTAGAAAGTCAATGAATAAATTTTGTTTTAATATTTCTCTTTTAGCTTTATGAATGAAGTTATAATTTCCACTAGGATAATCTAAGTTATTATAATTTGTATTTAATATGCTTTCTGTATATATATGTCTGCAGTATGCAGTTTAATTTACGTTAATTCAGTTAGACTCGATGACAAACCAAATTATCATAGTGCATGTGAATTAAAACCTTTAAATTTTATACATAAGCTAAGGAATTGTTTAAATCGACAATATGATTAAATCACCGCTAAATGTATCACTCTATGTAATAATGAAGCTGAACGGGGAGGAATTGAAGAAGTACTTAATTCAATGATGAAAAAATATAAGCAATTGTTCCTGGACGTTTTTTTTTTTTTTTTTTTTTTTTTTTTTTTTTTTTTTTTTTTCCTTCTGGTACAGATAACAGATCATGTGTTGGGTCAAAATTATATCTAGAAATTGTAACCATGGCATGCTTTCTCTTGAAAACAATCCGAAAATTGAGGTAATATATGATTTGGCTAAGTATTATATATGTGTATATATACAAAATATTTGTATAATCAGAGAAAATTAAGGAAAGAGTATTTCACTATTGTCGTGATCTTGTTGGTAAGAGTACCTTTATTTTCTAAAGTTTGGAATGGGGTTTAATTTGACATGTGTTGAAATCCCAACATTCTTGAGCTGCTCAATTAATTAGAATCTATAGTTAGAGAAAAAAAAAGGTTTTATATAGAGTTATGGGTTTACTAGTGACTATTTCTAAAAGGGTGATCACACATCTCTTTTTATTCTATACATTCTTTTTTAAATACACACTCCGCGCAATTTTAAAATGGTTGAATTTACTTTTTATACACCCTTATTATTCTAAAATTACCCCAAACTAATTTTATACGATTATTAATTTTTGGTATTTTTCTTTTCACACCACTATTTCATTTTAATATTATCATTTCTATATTTCTCTATTTTTTAGTTGAAGTTTTAGGCATGATGCTTTTTTTTTTTTTTGTACAGGATGAAAATTTGTTAAAATATTTTTTTAGAAAACATAAAGGACACTCAAAGTTATTATATTATTGAGGTATGATTAAAAATAGAAAATGGAAAAAGAATGAAAACAAATAAACGAGCATAATCTATACAACATTACTAAAGAAAAATGGGTTTTTGGGTAGGTGTAACGAAACGTTTCAGTACACGTTTTTTCTTTGTTTTTGTTTTTGTTTTTTTTTGTTTTTTTTTTTTTTTGCCGTTAAGGAAAATGATTCAGTGTGCTTGGGTTCACTAAACTTGCCATGTGTCCGTCTATGATTGGAAGGCATCTTCAGTGGGATACACGTGGCAGCGTGTGATTGGAAGTTCAATTAAGTGGACACGTGTCAAAGCGCCATTGGTTATAGAAACAAGCTCATGCAAAGCACGCAGCAGCGGATCTCATGCGAACAAGGAAGTGGCCGACAGCCATGTACACGAGGCGCGCGCTCATTTGCTGGTGGGTGGAAGTGGCAGGGCCCGTTGACGCAACGTACTTGATAATATGACGTGATAAGAATTTAATTTTATTAATTATTATATATTTTTTTAATTAATTATCCAATTTAGTGCGAACACATCACCGGCGGCTTAGCAGCCCAGTAAGCATTCTCCGGAAGCAGCGGAGCCTACAATGGACCACTCAGTGGGCTGGCCATATGGATAACCAATGCCAATAACAGACGAGTAATATCTCGCGCAAGAAAGGTTGCATCAGCAGCCTTTGCTCGGCTAAAATATGGTTGCGCCTGCATAGTGTGCATATTAGTGTGTCACACATAACACATGACCCGTATGTCGTGCATAAACTATAGCCACAGGCTGCGCAAGGAAGGGCATACACGAGAACCATGTATAGGCGTTAATATTTTGGCAACTTTGATTGAAATCTAGTAATTTTTATAAGAATTATCTAGATATTTTAAGAGACCGCAAATATCTAAAGGATTTAAGTGGGATCTTTATCAAAAGAATAATGTTAGAGACACTAAGGGGGCGTTTGGTATGGGGTAATCATAGGGGTGGGAATGAGAATCTTTCAGATTCTCATGTTTGGTACAATTATTAGACTTTTTTAAAACCCAGGAAAGTCACATTACCCCATTTTGGGGTAATCCTAATCCCACCCAATAAGTGTTATTCAAATTCTCAGGAATCTCAAAATCATGAGAATCTCATAATAACACCCATCACAGCCTATCAAACTAAGCGTCTCCTCCCTCCCTGTAGAGCACCTACATCACAACCACTGTTCAAGCTCACCATCAGAGCTCCTCGTCGGCGGCGGCAACGGCGATGTACGACGGCGGAAGCTCTCGGAGCAGAATTTCACGGCAGAGTTGAGGCTTACCTCACTAAATCGACCCTCATGAGTTCATTGGTGTAGTCAATTTCATCCAATTTGACCTCTAAGAGTGCAGATCAAACTCAACAATGTCTGTAAAATTTGACATCTCAAATCTTAGATTTTTGACCATTGAGAAAGATTTCTGTATGGAACCAAACACAATAATGTATTATTCCTAGGAATCATATTACCCTCCATCACTTTCCTGGGAATATGATTCCTTATGATTACCCCATACCAAACGCCCCCTAACTAAAATCTCAACTATTGTGTATCAACTGATGTAGTGTATGAGTTGTTATTTCTCTATTAGTAGGTATTTAAAACATTATCACGTTAATTAATAAAAAAGATTATATCTACTAATAAAATAATGACAACTAACTACCACATCAATTAATACGTAAAAATTAGTCACGTTAATTAATGAAAGAGATTATATCTATTAATAAAATAATGACAACTAACTACCACATCAATTAATACGTAAAAATTAAGATTTAAATTGGTATCCTTAATATTACTCCTATCAAAATAATGCTATTTAACTTAGATTGTTAAGTACTGTCTACTAATAAAAGGCACTACTAATAAAAGGCAATCTCATGACATGGAATTCATATAGATGGGACCCACATTTTTTTAATGATGGTGTTTAACAGTACTGCAGCTACCCCTAAGCCCTGCATCTTTCTTTTTACCATGCATGTAACCCTCCCAAGGTTGATTTGGTCTGTTTGACCCCCTTTTGCAATTCAAGGTCCTTATTATTGGAAATGAAAACATAAAATGCAGCATAATCGGATTTAATAATTGTTTTTATATAAAAACGGAAATAATATATATTTATATATTCTTAAAAAACTATATATATACAAAAAATAATATATATACATATGTAAAATACCTGTTTGGGCAATCAGTTTTTGGATGATCAAGCATTCTAAACCACTAGATCTTCCTTTGTTATCCTACTTTCCTGGAATCAACTAGTGTATTGACACTGGTGGAATTCTCATAGATCTTTTGACTCCTTTATGAGTAGGCACCAATTCTCCTTCAAAAATTTTTTAAGGAAAAAACCAAAAATATCACTCAATATGATAAAAAAATATTATTTATGATACTCTACTAAAAAATAAACAAATGGCATTCAATTAATAAGAACAAAATAAAAGGTAACAATGACAACTAATTATTTAAAATTGTATAAATATATATTTTTTATTTTTATTTTTAATTTTTTACCTATGGATTCCTGAATACTAAAGAGGAGTGTATAGAAATCCTAAATGAAGGTCAGAAAAAATCTGACCATTTGACTGGTAATTGGGAAACTTTTCTTTCCTCGAGAGTGAGAAAATTGGAGTACGCATGTGGCGTAGATCGCCATAGGATATGCCAAGTGTCATTTCAATATTATGCGTTTTAATTTTCTCCAAACGAAAATCTAATTGGACGCCAGAATTGATTTAAATTAATTTTGTCTATTAAAATAAATATTCTTATATACTTTACACAATTATTTATTTCGACTTTAAAATAAATAATTCACACATTTTGTTTATCGTAACACTTAAAATTATAAGTAATTTTATTTGTAACTAAATTTGTATGTCACATATAATATACATGATATCAAACATCTGTGTTTAGAAGAAAATTCACGGCAATGTAAAACAATCACATTTAACTTTTTTACTACAGTAAAAAGCTCATATAAAGTCACATCTCAATTTAAATTAAAAATCTGAATCAGTGAACTAAATAGGCCCTATAGCATTTTCACACATACTGACTGAATTATATAGTCTCAGGAGACCGAAAATGTCCAAAAAATTGTATTAATTTATCCCAAATAATTATGGAGCTTGTAAGGGGACCAATAGCGGAGCCACGAAATTTTTTAAAAGGAATGGCCTAAACTAAAAGGTTGAATTAAAATTTCTAGCAATAATCTTTTACCTCCATTTATCAATTTGTATCTCTTTTGTTATATTTTTATAAGATCAGTAGAGCTTAGGCTAATGCTTTAATGGAAATTTGGTTATGTAATTGATGGCTTGGAGCTTTAGATCTTGCAAGCCAATTGAATGTTTATATTTCAACATTTTCAAATGGAAAATAATCCAATGTTTATGCCATATTTTGTGTCCCAGTTGGTGTACCATGATATGTCTCTTCTATTGTTGTATCCTTATAATTGGTCGGTTTTTATCGGGTTTTTTTTTTTTGTTTTTTTACCATAAAAACTAATTTTTGAAGATGTAGTTTCGACTTAACTTTCTAATGTAGTTTTTGTTAGATATGGATGGTTATTTAATTGGGCGGGATTTCCTTATGGGATTGATGATTCATTTTTTCTTTTGTGAACTTTTTTTGTATTTTTCTTTTTATTTTGATAAATTAAGTAGGTAGCTTGGTGCAGATCTCAACAACCACCCTTCCTTCATAAATTCCTTGCTTTTCAAGGCTTTAGGAAAAATAACCAAAAAAAACTAAAACGACAATAAGTTCAGTACATAAAGCTGATAACAAAAACAATCAACACAGAACAACAAATAGAAAGGACACAAAACGACACTTACCGATAATAAACCAAACGACATCTTACAAAACAAATCAGCTACACCAAGCTTACACAAAAGCCCAAATGACTATAGGACATAGGCAGCTACCAAAATACTACATCAGATGTTCACCCCTAGGAGTTCACAACCTTTATACTAGTGCTGGAAGTTCGGGTCGGCGGGCTGTCCGAAGCCCGAATTTTTTCCGGCTCGGGCGGGCAAGCCCATCTCCCGCCCGCCCAAGCTAGAGTTTCGGGTTCGGGCTCGGACAACCCGAATTTGACACTAACTCTCTTGCGCGCCGCCGTCTAACCGCCCTATACCGCTGTCCGCCGGAATTTTTTTGAATTTTCCGACCATGCCCGAACTGCCCGACCCGAAAATAAGCCCGAAAACCCGAGTTGCCCGATTTGCCCAAAACCGCCCGAAAATATTAGTTGCTACAAATTGGGGCATTCCGAGAATCAAACTCGGGACCTCTCACACCCAAAGCAAGAATCATACCACTAGACCCAATGCCCATATTTGTTATTTACATTTTTAACTTTTTAATTAAGGTAAACACACAATTCCTTAATAGAAAGAGCAAATTCCTATTTTAGCAGTTTAATATTTCAGTTTTCACATTCTTGACCCTTTTTTATAATCAATCACATGATAAAATGATTCCTCAAAAAACAATATACACAAGGAAAGAAACACATTGCCATCACGTTTTTATTATTTTTTATTTTTAAAAAGTGTTGTTTCTATATAATGCCGGTTTTGTTCTTATAGATACTCGTATTTTTCTATTCTATATCACTCTTCTTTCTATCTTTATCTATTTTTCTGTTCACAATCTCTCCTCATCCTCTTAATTATCCTCTTTTTTCTTCAACTTTCTTCACTCTCTTTGTGACTCTATATCAAAGTAACTTTCTACTTGCATACCAAAGTAAATTGATAATTTATCAAAAGTCACTCAATGATTGGTTTGGTTTAATAACTTCATCGCTATTTGATGATCACTATTTTAAAAGACCAGTCACTCAATGTTGAAGTCTTGGTTTGCATTAAGCATTGGGATCGGGCCGATCAACATTTACAAGATACAATTTCACCGGCAAGCCAATAATGGATCGATAAATTTAATCGATTAACATTTAATTTTGAAGACGATCCTTTAGCTTTAAATTAAATTGTAAATTTGTAATTTGTAAATATGTATTTACCTTTAACATTGTATTTGTAATTGTATAACTTTGTAAGTTTATAAAATTTGTAATTCGTCACAATATGATTGCACTCTTTTTTCCTTGCCAAGTTTTTATCCCAATTGGGTTTTTCTTAGTAAAGTTTTTAATGAGGTAATCATGAATTATAAATTTAAAAATTAATAAAGAAATAATTTTTTTATATAGTTCATGTGTTCATTTCAAATTTCAAATTGTAATATATATATATATAAATTTTAACACAAAATAACTTAATATTAAAAAAAACAGTTTAAATAATTCGGGCAATTCGGGCGGGCTCGGGCCGCCTAATACAAGCCCGCGGCCCGTTCAAGGTGAAATTCGGGCTCGGGCGGCTCAGGCTCAGGCTCGGGCAAAAACTCGGGCCTTTCGGGCGGTCGCGGGCGGCCCGTCCAAAGTTCCAGCACTACTTTTATACTAAGCAAAATTAAACATATTTTTTGCTCTAATTAGTATTGTTTGGGTCCAACTTATAAATAATGAATATATATACAGATATATATAAATATATATGTATATATGCACAATGGAAATGTTTGTGACCAATAAAATTAGGTGAAGCAGTATTGTGCTTGTGGTAAATATTAGAACAAACTCGGAAAATTTCATCAACACAAACTTTGTGCAAGCAAACTCTTTGAATGTTGCAGTTGTATAAGATATATATATATATACACACACATATAGGGTCTTTCTTCCATCCCTCCTTGTGAAAACGAGGGACAGTCCCTCCCTTTTTTTTACTTTTGGTTGGCAAACAACCGGTTAATAAGGTCATTATATCCTTTGCATAAACGGCAGCCCGTTTTGTGTCGAGAGTAAGAGAAGCTTTTTATTTTTATTTTGGTTCTCCGTTATATTATATAATTATTTGTTTCTAATCATTGAAAATTATTTTTCATTTCTTCTAAAAGCAAAAAGAAAGGAAAGTAAATTAACTAAAATATAAATTTCTGCAACAAAATGTAGCACGGAGATGTTACATAAGGATTTCAAAAGAAAACTAATATGATTAAAAAAATAATAAGATATTCAAAAAAAAAAAACTTATTTTAAAAGGAAAAAGAAAAACAAATCTTAAGTAGCCGACACGCTGTGATTTTTTTGTTTGAATTTGTATCCTAGACTTTTTTTTTTTTTGGCATAATCTACTATTCTACATGTTTTTTACTATTTTATCAAATAATGAACACATATGGTCTCTAACCTATTAAGATGGTGATAGTTTAATTCTTTTTTTAAATTTTAGTAAAACAATCCCTCAACTCTCAAAACGTTTGTAATTAAGCCCTTTCCGTTAGATTTCATCAACTTTTTAATAGAATAGATCATGTGACTCATTATTGAGGCCTGATAGATTCAGGGGGTACTACGTGACAAGAGTGTGCACGTGGACATACGCGATTCGGTGGTGAAGCTCCTACATGGATGAAGTACTTGACGCTTCTCGAAGGTAGACAAGTCGATAGGACCTCCAACAAAGATGGTAGGGTCGGCTAGGTTCGAATTAGGCCAAACAACATCTTACAAAACAAATCAGCTATAATTAGTTATGTGTGTATATGTGTGTAAGATGATTAATTAGAATAAAATTTGGTTTATTCTAATTAATCATCTTACACACATATTGTCAAATTTTTGCACTTTTGTATATTGCATAGATATAGATATACACAAACTCTATCCAAAATCCAACCTATAAGCGACAACCATGCCTGCCTGTGTTGGAAAGTATGCTGGTAAACACAATCTCTCCCTCTATGTATGTATATACACACACACATAGATATTATTGGTTTAGTGTATATTATAGGCATTGTAAATGAGAATTTTTTCCATATCCGTACTAGTACTATTATTTAAGAGCTTAATTAATTATAAGGAAGCAAAAGTAATGAATATTTTTGGGTTTTTGGCAACGATGCCTTGAACGTTCCTACCGATGTTTGCATTTGTCAACAGTTTTTCTTTTCTTTAACAAGTGAATAGAGAAATAGTTGTGAAAATTACTTCACTTCTGTTCCTTCAATGCAATAATGCTCAGGAATTTCTATTGCATTTAAAACTTCTCCCATATGTGTGTGTATACTCAAAGTACCCATAGCATTTTTCTTTTTTCTTTCTTTCTTTCTTTTTTTTTTTTTTTAAAAGGAACTATATAAAAAAGAACAACAATAAACATAACAAAAAACAAGCATATATATATATATATATAATATATAATCTAGGTAGCTGAAGTCAACAATATACATTCTTCTAAACAACTTTTCTAGTTTTTCTTTCTTGTTTATGTAAGCATCTATATACAGTATCGTCTAACATTGGACCAAGCACAAATTAATATTGTACTATTAATGAGAAGCACTTGATTAGCTTTATCATTTTTTTTTATATCACTAAATCTAATATAATTTACGTCACTCTTGATTCAAATAACTCTCCTGTCCTTGTATATGTAAGCAAATCTATAGTAACATTATAGCATTACTGAACCAATTACAAAATTCATGTACTAATTGTTCATAGGCATAGTACATTAATTTTAGCATTTTTCTTGTTCTTTTTTTTTCCTCGTTTATTAAGCATTATACTTAATGTCAATGTAGCATTGAACCAATCACAAATTACACTACAAATTTTTAGTGGCATGGGCTAGTAATTTTAGCATTTTGCGTAAAACTACTAAATCTAAACCTGTCTTTTGTTCACATAACATCTCTCTAGATTCATTAAAATATATTTTTAGTCTCATGTATTATTGACTATATTATAACATAATGTTGAAAATCAACCTATCTATAGTATCCCTGATATCCGGGAGATTTGGGTTGATTTAGTCAGCCCTATCTCTTAGAGAATAAAATCGGGACCTTATTATTCGAAGTTATTAGTTTCCTGATTTGTTGCTGATTTGTTTGATTTGTTTCCTAGTTTGTTGAGATAGTCTCTGACCAAAATATGACTATAAGTTCTAGGTCTTTTCTTGTATTCATTTACAGACCTTTCTAATAAAACTTACTAAGCAGTATTTTATGGTTTTCTTCTCCGGTATCTTTTCTCGCATGGTATTAGAGCTGGGATACTGTTGAGAGGAAAACGACATGGCCAATAGCTTTAAGCGGGCCCTCATGGGTTAAGCAAGGACGGAAAGGAATGAGCTTCTACTCAATCTTCCTATGTACTGAGCCTTACAATTAACCCCACTGCTTCTTTTGATAACTCCTCTCTGAACTCCTCTCTTCTAATCACTCCCTACAAACTAAATGGAAAAAACTTCCTTCAATGGTCAAGGTCTGTCCAGATGGTTATATGAGGAAGAGGAAAAATTGGGTTTCTTGATGGCTCCACAAAGAAACCAGACCCAACCGACCCTGTATACACATCGTGGGACACCCAAAATGCCTTGGTGATGTCCTGGCTCATCAACTCTATGGAAGAACACATTGGGTCATTATACCTTGTTCACTCCACAGCCAAAGTCATTTGGGATAAGGTGAAATTTGCCTATTCCGATCTGGAGAATCATGCACAGTTGTTGAATTAAGAGACCAAGCTAGGGATCTCAAACAAGGAAGTATGAGTGTCACAGAGTATTACACTACCCTTACCAAGCTATGGCAGGAACTGGATTTGTTTGGGCCCAATGATTGGTGTGGTGAGTGTTTAGAAAAATATGTGAAACTTGTAGAAAAAACCGGTACCTATGATTTCCTTGCAGGGCTGAATAAGGATCTGGATGAGGTTCGTGGTAGAATGATTGGAATCCGACCTCTACCTCAGATTGAAGAAGTCTTTGCTGAGGTCCGAAGGGAGGAGAATAGGCGCAAGATTATGCTTGGTGATCCTAAAGGTACTGCCCAAACAAAGGCTTCTGCTCTAGGCTCCAAAAGCTATGAACAAAACAGAAAACCAAACTTCTCTAATGAACCACGGCGTGCTAAAAAAGGGAATCTTTGGTGTGATTATTGTCAAAGAGCCAATCACACTAAAGAAACTTGCTGGAAATTACATGGGAAACCCCCTAATCAATACAACCGTGAACATCAAAGGCAACCTGGACAGTTTCAAAAAGAACCCCGTGCCTACCAATCTAATGCTGAACGGGTTGAACAAAAAGCTGGTGAGAATTTGGGCAGCATCAACCTCAGTAAGGAGCAACTTGAGCGTCTTTACAAGTTACTCACTCCAGAAAAAGTAACTGGTACTTCTTTAATTGCCCAGCAAGGTAATTTTCTTTCAGCCTTAAATTGCACAAAGGAAGAAAAAAATTCCTGGATTATTAACTCCGAAGCCTCAGATCATATGACAGGTTGTGCTCAATTATTTTGCTCATATGCTCCAAATTATGGTCACGCTAAAGTTAGAATTGCATATGGAACCTTGTCTCCGATTGCTAGAATTGGAACTATTAAGATTAACTCTCTTGTTCTTAAGTATGTATTACATGTTCCAAATTTATCCTGTAATCTACTGTCAGTGAGCAAAATTTCTAAGGATTTTAATTGTAGAGTGATCTTCTCACAGAATCATTGTGAATTTCAGGACCAGGGTTCGGGGAAGAGGATTGGCAATGCTAGTAAGCATGAGGGACTATATTACTTTGATGAGGGCACCGACAAGATCAAACAAGTTCATATTGTTAGTTGGGAACCTTCTTCATGGCAAAATCAAGTAATGCTGTGGCATTAAAGTTAGGGCATCCTAGTTTCGCGTATTTAAAACACTTGTTTCCTTCCTTGTTTAAGAATAATGACGTTTTTCAATGTGAAATATGTCAGTTGGCTAAACATCAAAGGTCTGTGTTTAAACCAAAACCTTATAAAGCAACTAGACCTTTTGCCATGATTCATAGTGATATTTGGGGACCCTCACGGTCTCACAATATTTATTCAAAGCGTTGGTTTATATCCTTTATCGATGATAATACTCGTGTGTGTTGGTTGTACTTACTCAAAGATAAATCTGATGCTGAGCAAACGTTCATAAATTTTCACAACATGGTTAAAACTCAATACTCCACAAATATCCAAATCTTACATACTGATAATGGTAAAGAGTACTTTAACCAGATTTTAGGAGGATATCTTAATACAAATGGGATTATTCATCAAAGTTCTTACACCAATACACCCCAGCAAAATGGCATAGCTGAAAGAAAAAACAAACACCTTTTGGAAGTTGCTAGGTCCATCATGTTTACAACCAATACTCCTAAACAATTTTGGGGGGATGCTATTCTCACTGCTTGCTACCTTATAAATAGAATGCCCACAAATGTTCTTCAGTTTCAAACTCCACTAAACGTCCTCTCCAAACTTTTTCCTGAAAATCAAACCTTTAGTAATCTTCCCCTAAAAGTGTTTTGCTGTACTGTGTTTGCTCATAATCATGAACCCAATCGGAACAAACTTGATCCAAAGGCTCTTAAATGCATTTTTCTTGGATATGCTGCAAACCAAAAGGGGTACAAATGTTATTTTCTAAAAAAGAAAAAACTCATTGTAACCATGGACCTCACCTTTTTTGAAAATACTCATTTCTATTCCACAAATTCCCTTCAGGGGGAGACAAACAGTGAAGGAAATTTCTGGCATTTTTCTTCTGAAATCCTCAATTCTACCACCTCTGAAATCCCTAATTCTTTCACTTCACCGAACGTGCCTCTTTTAGAACCTAATCCCTCACACTCTGAGAATCTCAATTTACCAAGAGTTGAAAATTTTGATGTGGTCGATGAAAGCAATAAACAAGGAGGGAATCTTGATGTGGAAAATAATCAAGAAGAAAACAAGGTGCCTGATCTAGATGTCCAGCAACAGAAATCCCATCCAAATACAAAACTTCATGTTTACTCTCGTCGGAAGAATTAACAAGTCCCTCTTACTCTCGAGGATTGTCATGAACCAACCCGGACTCAGGTAATTTTCTTGCCCTTCCTCCTATGGTTAATAGTGATGATCAACCTATTGCTTTAAGAAAAGGTGTCCGTTCTTGTATTCAACATTCTATAGCTCAGTTTGTACAATATGACCATTTGTCCTCTTCTATGAAAGCATTAGTTTCCAGTCTTGAAGACACAGAAATTCCAAGAAATATTGAAGAAGCCTTTCAACGAATTGAGTGGAAAAGGGCAGTAGAGGAAGAAATGCAAGCTCTAGAGAAGAATGGGACTTCAGAAGTAGTTAAAAAACTCAGAGATGTTGTACCTGTAGGCTGTAAATAGGTATTCACAGTGAAGTATAAATCTGACGGGTCCATTGAAAGGCACAAAGCGCGTTTGGTTGCTAAGGGGTTTACTCAGACCTACAGGATAGATTACTAGGAGACTTTTGCCCCCGTTGCCAAACTCAATACCATTCGGGTCCTTCTCTCTCTTGTAGTAAATCTAGATTGGCCACTCCACCAACTTGACATCAAGAACGCATTTCTCAATGGTGACTTGACTGAAGAAGTTTATATGGAACTTCCTCTAGGTTTCAAGAGTGCTGGACAAACAGGGTAGGTGTGTAAGTTGAAAAAAATCCCTATATGGACTGAAACAATCACCTAGAGTGTGGTTTGAAAGGTTCACGAAAGTAGTCCGCCAACAATGGTATAAGCAGGCTCACACTGATCACACGCTATTCTACAAACATGAAGGTGGTAAGTCAACTATACTTATTGTATATGTTGATGACATTATCTTGACAAGTGATAATGTTCCCGAAATGGGTTATTTAAAGAAGAAGCTTGCAGATAAATTTGAGATCAAAGATCTGGGTACGTTAAGGGACTTTCTGGGTATGGAGATTGCTCAAAATAGATCAGGTATCTCTGTTTCTTAAAGAAAATATGTCCTAGATCTTTTATGGGAGACTGGGTTACTTGGATGTAAACTTGTTAATACCCCAGCCGATCCAAATGTTAAACTTGGAGATCAAAATACAAGTACACCAGTGGACAAGGGTAGATATCAGCGACTTGTTGGAAAGCTTATTTATTTAGCTTATATGAGACCAGACATAGCTTTCGCTGTTAGCATGGTAAGCCAGTTTATGCATGCTCCATATGAGGAACACCTAAACGCAGTCATCCGGATATTGAAGTATCTAAAAGGAAGCCCAGGAAGAGGATTGTTCTTTAAGACGGGATAATCTCGTGAAATTAAAGCCTATACTGACGCTGATTGGGCTGGCTTAGTGGCATATAGGAGATCTACACCCGGTTACTATTCTTATGTTTGGGAAACTTGGTGACATGGAGGAGCAAAAAGCATAATGTAGTGGCTAGAAGTAGCGCAGATGCTAAACTTAGGTCCTTAGCAAATAGAGTTAGTGAATTGATTTGGCTAAGGCTACTCCTTGAAGAACTTCAAGTTGCAATAGAAAGTCCTATGAGATTGTACTGCGACAACAAAGCTGCCATCAGCATAGCTCATAATTATGTGCATCATGATCATACTAAACATGTAGAGGTTGATCGACACTTTATCAAAGAGAAGATTGAAGATGGGACTCTTTGCATTCCTCATGTTGCTTCAGCCGAGCAGACAGCAGACATTCTAACTAAAGGATTGCCAAGACCTCTTAGAATGTACCTGAATTCAACAATATATGATGTGATATCAAATAGCTCAAATCTGCGGCCTTCACGAGATTTCAACTCTTCAAGAAAATTATATATCTTGGGGGACATCAAAACTTTCAAAGCCTCTTTGCCCTGGCCATCCAGAATATATGTTTGTATTTCCACCAGAAGTTGGAAATCTCATATCAGTTCTCCCCCGAGGAAAAGCAGTTCCACCTATAGGTGATCCCGGCAAAACTGGACTTGCAAGGGGAGAGGTTGGGTGCTGCATCAAAATACCAGCATTTGGTGGATTTCTGAAAGAATTTGGACTTATTGGTCCTCCTCTTCGTGGAGTCATAGCAGGTGAAGCATGTCTATGATGCTGAATTTTGTGCTCGTCGATAAAAGGAGCATTATCCAATACTTTCTTTGGATCAAACGGACCAGGAATACCATATGGTTCCCCAAGCCATGTGTTGGTCAAAATCGCTACGTAAGTGCACGTGCCGAACAACTAATAAAGTGAATGAGTAGAGTATCATTTTCACGGAAAAAGTTACCAATATGTTCCAAAGTAAAATTCAATAAATACAACGTAAACCAATTTTAATAGTTTAATTGATCGTTTGATTAAAACTACTACAAGGACTAAAGAAAATTAAAATAATCATAATTTGTAAAATGTAGACTCAGCTAACAGAGACAAAAATCAATCTATGATGGAAAGACTGTGACTCAATTTCCCCTTTTCTGCAACCTGGGCTATGTATGTTGTAACTTTGCTATAGCAATGCTGTCAGTTAACCTGAAATGAAAATTTATACAAAAGTCTTTCGATCTACTTATGACTTCAACTCTTTATTTCAATTCCAGCATACTCCTATGAAAAATTTAAATAGAGAGGTTGCATTAAGCTTGGATTTCAATTAGGTTATGTGAGGCAAGTGTATATTCCTATACTACCTGCAAATTAGCTAGATCTATCCCTGAAATTAAGCTAAACTCACACTGTTCAATATTAGTCTAATTACAATCAACTTTCCAGCAAATTGCAATCACAGTATTTTGTTCAAGATGGCCAGTCAATAAACAAAAATTAATAAAAGAGATTATATTGAACAAACCAAATCAGCATGAATATAACAAAGTGAGCATACAAAACTTCAATTACAAATCCAGGTACTTTATCATCTCAGCTAAGTAAATCTAGTTCATAATTGTCTGGTTAAATGCAACAAAATAAATAGGCATCATTCAAGTACAGAGGAAGAGGAAGAATAAACCAAAATTAGGAGAATAACAGCAGAGACAAAATAAAGCTTCGTAGTCCCTTCTTGTAGCTCCACTTCTTGAGATTTTAGCTCCAATTTTTGTCTCCTCCAGTACTTGTCCTTGCTTTCTCTCTTTCTCTCTGGTCTATTTTTACTCTCTACTGCTCTTAGCTCACTCGGTATTGTCCTCCTTTTTCCTTCTTTTTTTCTCTTTTTCTCTCTTCTCTTGCGGTGCTCCCTAAGGAAATTGAGCGTACTTCTCATTAGGGCAACAAATGACACTGAGGTGGCTCCTATTAAGTGATTGGGTCCAACTGACTAAGCTTCAATTCCACCTTCTGTGTACTGTCTTATTTCTCTTGCAGAGTTATGCGCTGACATCATCCACTAACTGCCTGCTGCCATATTTTTGCTGCAGCATTTTTCTTCACAATTCTCGCATATCACAACAACGCCCCTTAGACACAAATCAACCCTTTCTTTGATTCAATTTTCTTCAAAATCATCACAGAAGTAGTACATAAACAAATCTTAACAGAGTACATCATAAGAACTAAAAGTTGAACAAATAAAATAGAAAAACAAACAACTAAGCCTTTGGATGGGCCAACTATAAGCCTAGAAATGCCTAAAATAACTCTAATTTCTTGAGTTATCACACCCCCAAACTTAAAGTATTGCTCGTCCTCGAGCAATGACATTACAAAACAAATGACAACACAAAAACAAATGTCACTAGGAGAATTTCTTTTTGAGTCAACTGTATGGGTTCAAGGTGTGGGGCTAAGTTTATCAGAGGCTCTCTTCCCTTTTTACATTTTCTCTTGCATGCTTAAGCTATACACCAACTTTCTTTGAGTATGAGATCAACCAATTTCCCTTGAATAGCGCTTCCTTCCCGATCACCCACTTCAAACTAGACCACGATCATTAAGCCTAGTAGTGTCTCCATATGTTGACTTATTGACTCCTTCTCCACTAATGTACGATCACCTAGCACTTGGAATCAGACTTACGACTCAACTTCTTCTCCAATTGACACCTAATTCCCCATTCTTAAGATTGTTATTCTTATTCTTCTCTTCTCTTTTTTTTATACTTCTTTGAAACGCCACAATTGTCTTTTTACGTGAATGCCAACATTTGTGATGAAGACACTCGGTTACTCAACAAAGTCACAATTCAAAGTGCTTTGCATACTCTTGCCTCGGTACCGTTTGACGCAAAAGTGAACATGGGGCTCATGATCACTCCTGGTTACTAAGCACACCAAGGCAGCGGAGTAATTTTTTTTTATTTGAACATGCATACAATAAAATGGTGTCATCACTCAAATTTGCCTCATTCGTCCACCTCATACTAGGTTTCCTAGAATTTCACCTCAAAGGAGTCTCTATGTCAATTCTAGAAACCTAAGCTCTCACAGCAATCTAGCCATCAATCACTAAGCTCTCGGGAAGTGACACTACAAATGTTGTGGAAAGATAAGCATAGAGAGTTGCATTCAAAAATCATGCTCAATGGGTTTTCACTCACACCCAATTCAAGTCAATCTATCACAAAAGCATGCCTTAACTTAGCTTACCTCATCATTGAAGACCCTACACCAATCACACCACAAAAATTGACAAAAGGAAAGTCTACCTAACAACAAAACAGCAGAAACAACACACTAAAAATAATAAAGCATAAAAAGAAAATAAACACACTAAATGAACCAACCCACATGAAGCATAACATTTCAATTTGCACCCCCCCCCCCCCCAAACTTAAAATCAACAGTGTCCCCACTGTTGCAGATGCACAGCGAACACAAAAACATATTACTCAAACAGGGGAAAATTCAGGGGAAAAGACAAAAAGACAGAAATGAAATGAGAGTGTTTCTAATTGGCAGTGCTTGAAAGTGCTGCAGTCATCCTTTCCATTTCCAATTGGCAGTGCTTCTACGAGTGGATCTCCGTGTTGAAGGCTCTGGCGCTTTTGACTTTCCCTTATCCTTGCCTTTGTTGGGAGCAGCAACATCAGCTTCTTGAGACTCGGTGTGCACA